TGAATCCTCACAAATACAAATGGTCAGCTACTTGGTGCTTCCAAAACACAGGCAAACTCCCAGCTCTGATGTATAAATATGTGGTGCCAACACTTGGTTTCAACATGATTACTGATTTACATTTAAATACCACTGAAAAACAAACCACCAAAAAATACTGAAATTGAAATAATAGTTCTGATGTTCTGAAAAGTCATCCTTTCAGTGACCTTGTGATACTGAGTCCAGCAGATGTGAGCTGCCACTTCAGAAATTTCTCTCTGATTTACTCTGAAATAGAAGACTTTTTTTTTTTTTCCCCCTGTATACTTGTCATTAAATTTTGTACCTGAAGAGATCAAGGAACTTGCTTAGGTATTTCAGATCATTTGGTCAGAAACTTCCACTCTAATTATTTCATCTACAATGTAATTCAAAATGACAAAACACTTGCAAAAGTATAGACAGATCTATTTCAATGAGTTACCACCTTTTAAGAAAACATAAGGTTTTCCATAACTGAACAGCAAAAAACCCACCTTGCAATCATTTGATGACGGCTGAGTGGATAAAGGAAATGAGTTTAGAGGGGTCAAGTCCAGACAGAGAAAAAGCAATTGCATCATTAAAAAACGCCATCATAGTTAATTCCTGGTAATGGCCATGAGCAATGACAGTACACAGCACTGAATGACGCAGGTGAGAGGATATTCTCTGTAAGTCATAATTGCCTAAGATGAGCTGTTCAGTCATTTGTACTTATTTGGGACAGTCTGTACTGCCCCTTCCAGGGCACCATAAACATTTTGCTAAAGCTGTCAGTGAGAATCTACCATGCATCCTGGCTGAAGGGCAGTGAAATGAAGGGAAAAAGAACACTTAATACCAAGCTCTTTTCCTGAACTATGCCAGTTCCTGCTGGGAGCAGTACATACCTGCGTACAAAACATGGATTTGCCTGGTGCTCTAAATATCCATTTTTCAGCAATATCTTAATTGAGTAAAAAGCATTTAAAAACGAGAAATGCTCCTCTGGCAGACTAGTTCAGCTTCTAATAAAACCACTTCAAGTATCCTATAAATTATTCTGCTGCTGCAGCTATCTACACAAGCCACCTGCAGGTCAACTCAAACACGTTCCAAAGAAAGGGATCACTGAATTGAATGTATTTGGGTTTCACCTACTCATATTAGCCTACTTAGCCTATTTTCAAGAATGTTTGTTGTGAAAAATATTCACTATGCCTGTACTTATCACAGATAATTTTCAATTGTCTCCATGCTGGTATTTAATCCTTCACAGAGGTCCTCAAGACAACATTCAGTTTGATTTCCACACTTTCAATCACTCATCATCTAAATATCCAAAAGACTTGCAACCTGTTTGGGACACCCTTATATCAAAATGCAAGTGCATGCAGCAGGAACAATGTCTAACATGAGCTGGAAGCATTTGTTTCTACTGCTGCACACGAAGAACTCTGCATGAATCAATACTACAGGACCCTCAAAACCATTATACCCTTTGACTCACTGTACAGAGAAATATATGTATGTGAAAATACCAAAACAATCTAGCTTCTCTGATTCTGAGGCACCTGACCATAAGATGCAAAAGCTCGAGAGTACAGGGGACCAAAATCTTCCTGCCACCATGGATTTCCAGAGCTCTTTTGGAAAGTATTTCTAGGGGAATGCAGACACTTACCAGCATGGAAGTGCTGCCACACTTACAAAATTCATCCCATCTGTAATTTCCTAGGACAAACACTGGGCATATTCACTTTGCAGCCCACTGAATGCCCCATGCAGTGGATTGGGATCACAAAGAGAGCTGCACTAAATTGGTTTGGCTCTGCTGCTCAGTATGAAGGAGTGGCGTGGTAGAGAGATTTTGCTGAGTTCCATAAAATTATGTCCACAGAAGGAGGGCTAAGAACAACTCTCCTTACAGCAGGAGATAGTCATGCCACTCCTTTCAGAAAAACTGAACAGAAATTCTACCTGAACATACTCATTACCATTGGTAGAAGCATTTTAATCCCAGCCGCCTCATCTAGGATCTTCTCCTTGCTCTGCTTCGAAGCAGGCATGATTTTATTCATTTATTTTTGAAACTGCTGCCCTAGGAATGAGATCTAGTGATGCAGTTCTGCCCTGGGGAGAGCCAGGTGCTTTGTTTTGCTGCTTGTCTCAAAAAGTAGTACCCTGAAATAGAGCTTATGTTGGATTAATGCAATCAAAGGCACCCTGCTGTCTGGTCACTGACCTATCTGTAAACAGCAGATGACATGATGCCATAAGCTTCTATTAGATATGATTACCTATTGAGATGTGACCACTGTAAAAGAAACAAAACCATGCACCTCACCTGCTGCTGTTAGTTTATTTTCCAGAGCTAAACAATGCCTATAAGCACCTCAGATCTGAGCACCATTTTTGACTACTCATCTCTCTTCACTGCTCCTCATATCTCTTCCAACCAGATTTTTGTCTTCTCCTTACATCTGGAACAACCCTTCCAGCTACACTGGGCAAGGTCCAACTCTTCTTTATTCTCACTGTAGATCCCTTTTATATCCCTCTTCTTTCATTCAACCTTTTTATGCCACAACTTCTTCTCCTCTGCCTTCACCAAAGAGAAAGATGCCTGTTAGCTGAATGTGTGTCACCTGCCCTGGATTCTGCCCACTGCTACAGAAACCACAGGGACAGATTCTCACCTGATGTAAAGCAGTGCAGGTCTGCTGGAGTGCACGATCATGAGCCACAGAGAAAGTGGCGAACGTTGTTCACTGATTTCCAATGTCAGAGTAGGAGATCACAGTGAAACTGATACCTGCTAGCTCAAAACCAACAGGAAGCAGTTTTCACAGCCTGCACAGCTCAGTTGTGGAGCTCCTTGCTACTGGACGCAGCCAATGGAGCAACTGGACACCTTCATGAAAGAATAACAGCAAAATCCACTGAGAATCATAAAATACAAAGAAGCTCCCTCTGGTTCAGAAACTCACTGAGCCTCAAGTCCTTGAAAACTGGGAAAGTACTCTGGGAATACAGCTGTATACCCACAACCCAGTGGAAGAGTTCTGTACTGAATCACAGTTTGAGTTAGAAGGCACCCTTAAAAGCCATGTAGTCCAACTCGCCTGCAATGAACCTACAGCCAGATCAGAATGCTCAGAGCCTGGTCCATCCTGACTTTGAATGTGTCCAGGAATGGAGCACGCACCTCTCTGGGCAACCTGCACCAGGGCCTCACTGCCCTCACTGTCAAAAACTAATGATGCTACTTCACACCAGCTGAAGACACAGCATCCTATCTCAAATGCACATCCACACACACATGGAGGAAACGTGTCCATGTTTGCAACATTCTGTAGGAGTAACAGCAGAGAGAACCTCTAATTGCCACTAGCAGTTAGCTGTTATGGTCCTGTGAAGTACAAAAGTTAATGCAGCTACAAGTCCGTCGCTAAGTGCACATTTATCTCTCATGTTCATCACTAACTCAGAAGCCACTGGGACATGATATTCTTGCAGATGTTCCCAAAACAAAACAAAAAAGTCTTCATATCAATACCCGGCAATGAAACAGAAGCCAGCTGACAGTGATGCTGCCAATTACGAGCAGCTTATTTGTTTCGGATTTGTTTCAGTTATCAAACTGAAACATTATTGTCAAAAGAGACAAAAACTGCTTTCTCTTTTCCATCTAACTCCTGTCAGAATTTGATACAAGTCCCTTACAGAAGCACAACCCAGTTCTACCAGCATCACCTCACTTTTTCTGCTTTTATTTACAAAGCCTCATGAGCACCACATTAAATACCCCAAGACTGAAATATACGTGGGTTAAGACAAATGTTATCCAAGTTATTGCTTCATGTTGGAACAGTTTCAATTGTGTAACGCCACAACAGCAAGCACTTGTATTAATCACTGAAGAACAGCTCACATACAAACAAAAGTATTTGACGTCATCATCTGCCTCTTGATATAAACACAACTAGGCAACAGAAGCTTACAGTGAACCAGCTTTTTGCCAGATCAAGTTCAGTGTCTACATAAAGGATTTCCTTTAGAAGCACCCTGCCTTGAAAACCTTTCAGGCAACGTGGATAAAAGCTTATTGTCTAAGAGAGCATTAAGAAAAAAGCCAACAATCCAAAATGTGTGCTTGTAGACTCAAGGCTGCTTCCACTTCTTCTATGAATCAGCCGAGCCCAAGATCTCCCACCACCACCCAAGTCCACAGCTTTCCAGCCCCCATACACTCCTTTCTGCTGTGTAGCACTCCCTGAGATTGTTTTAGACATCTTCTCCAGCTGTCCCTTAGGAGTGACTGTGAACGAGCAATGAATTGAGACGCTAGTAAAATCGTGCGTTTAGGCACCAGATTTTTTTTTGTGAATGAACACAGTTCAGATCAATTTCTACTTAACTAAGCACGGTTCTGATTTAAGAATTGACTTTGGAGGCTTCATCGCTGTCTAGCAGAGAGCATTGCTTTTGTTAACGCTGAACTGAAAGATTTGGAAGAGATTTAAAGGGATACAAACGAGAAGCAACAGATAATCACCGAGCCGTGCAGACAGGGGCCCCTGGTCGTGGGTGCGGCGCGGCTGAGCGGATCAGCCAGCGACTATTTGAGAGAGCGTTTCATCAAACGGCGAAAATAAACAGGACTCGGCAGCCGTGGCTCAGCGCCGCTGAGTGACTCAGACCGTTCCACAGCCCTGCACCTGTTGAGGATCCCGGCCCAGCGTTTCGACTATTCACCCGAGTTAGCTCCCCGCTGCCTGCCGGCTACGCGCACAGCGCTCGCAGCCCCAGCCCGCGCTCCGCCGCCCGGCTCGCGTCCGCCCAGCCCCGAGCCCCGGAGCCGGCGGCCGTGCGGGTGCCACCCACAAGGGCTGCGGCGGCTCCAGACACCGGCTCGCCCCGGCCCCCTCCCGCCCCGCAGGCACCGAGCCCACCGAGCCCGGCTCTGCTCTCCGCTGGCGGCCGCGGGCACTCACATGGCTCCCGACCGCCGCTGCCTCCGCTCCCGTAAAGATGGCTTTCCGGCCCCGCTCCGGCTGCCGGCGGTCTCTCAGCGTTGTAGGCACCGTTGCTGAGAGAGGAGGGGTAGGCACCAGCTACTGAGCATGCCTGTGCCTCACATCACGGAGTAGGACGTCGGCACGGAGGTACCCCCTCCCCACCTCACGGCAGGCAGCAGAAAGTCCTGGAGTGACTCATGGAAACGCAGCCGCCGCTCCGCCCGCGCCGCCTCCCCGCGGGGAGCAGCAGGAGCCTGGGGTGCGGCTCCAGGGCTGGGCTCGCCCCGACGGCAGGTGTGAGGAGGTCGCCTTTGTCTGTGCCATCTTCTTCCTTCCTCCCCTTTCTAGAAACAAAACAAAACCAAACAGCAGAGAGGTATCACAGTTCTGTCCGCGCTGTCACGAGTGAGTACTTGTGAACAAAAAGCGGCTCTCATCGCTACTCACAGTGTACAGCAAAACCAGAGGCAGGCGAGCTACTGGATCTACCATTATTTTCTAACGGTGATCTTCGAAATGAAGTGTATCGGCTGCAAAGCCCGTGTGCTTCTGCCTCGGGCTTCTTGCAGCCTTTGACTCCCACTAAACCTAGGTCGGGGCAGCCACTCTCCACTTTGAATCTCCTTCATTAAAGTCAGCATTTCTTCAGCTCCCTCACACAGCCAAACTTCCATTGAAGCAGAACGTGCCCCTGTGCACTTGAACCAAGGCCATACCCAACATAAAGGCCAAAGAGGGTAAAAGGTAACACAGCTTTTAAAAGAAGTGGGAACTTAACCTTGCTGTCCCCACTGGTGGTTTGTTGTGCTTTACTTATGGAAGCACTGCACCAGACACCACGGCCTGACACTTCACAAACTTTCCATTTCAGGGAGAGCTACCATGAGCCTTTAGAAACAAGCATAGACACAAGTAAGGCAAGGGCTTAAGAGTTTTTGTACATATCTAGACCCCAGATCTTGGGGTACCTGATCTTGGGGTGCTTGCTGGGGATAAAGTATAACAGCATGATCAGATTAAATCTGTGTTTTCTACACGTTTGAAGCCAAGGACAAGATGACCTGTTCCTCTAAGCAACAAGCAAATGCTGAGGTGGAGGGCAAAGGAACTTGTCAGTTCCTAAGCTTGCTATCAAGTTGAAGGTTTTCATGGGAAGAAGAAAAATAATCAGGGAATATGAGAACACCCACAGCAGCAATACACAGCCCAGATATTACGATGCTCAGCTGTTTCTAAGTCAAAGTCCAGGTCACTAGTTTTATTCCAACCCTTGAATTCATTTTCTTTTTTTCTTTTTTTCTTTTTTTTTAATTTACATGAAGAAAACTCTCATTTGGAGCATTCCTTCTTCCACAGGTAGTTTCACATGAAAAAGGTTGCAGAAACTGGGTTGCGCTCAGGGAAGAGATTACTGAGTAAGATCACTTCCAAGACAAACACTGGTTAAGTAACATATTAGAAATGGTTGGAGAGGTAAGCTAAAGTCTGAAGAGCAACACTTCCATCTTTTAGGACACAAAGATGTTATGCTCCTGCATTTTTGATGACCACTGATGGACAGTCATCACCTCCATAACTATGCAAATGATGACCTCATTGTATTTACTTACTGCCAGGAAAAGAGAATGGGGCCTTGGGAAGAGATACACAAGTAGGTAGACAAAATTTAATCAGCCTCTGTACTGGGAACTGTTAGTAGTTGAGCTAGTGTATTTCAAGTGTTTTTCAGTTTTTCTATTGTTCTGCCCTTAATGATGTTAGAATTAACTTGATCCACATCTGGTACAAGCACACAACTTTATTTCTGTCAAATTATCCTAAGCACATGAGCACAAAGGTAAAAGGGCACAGAGAGATTGTCTGCTTTAGCAGAAAGTGTGTCGGTACAGGGAGAGTGCCTCAAACCTTGCTGACCCTGCACCAGCAGAATGAGCTTGATCTAGGTCAGTGTGCCACATCAGATGCCACAGCTGGTTTCAGTCCTGTAAGGGAGAGCCTTTAAAGCCAATTGAGGTGCATCGCTGTACTGTGGCTTTATCTTCAAATGAAGAAATTCCCACTAGCAAAGGCATCACCATTCTACCCCAAGCAGGCTTGTGATCCTGAAGAAAATCCACTGCTAAGGGGGGGGGGTTGTTTCCCTTCAGGCCTACACCTCCTTGAAAGAGACCACAGGTTGGTGCTGAAGGCTGCCAGAGCCTTCAGTGTTTGAGGAGATGCAGAGACACCCTGTGGTGGCAGAAAGAATATGGTCAGAATTCGAACCAATCTTGACACAGAACTGGATCAGAAAAGCTGCATCCTGGGGACACAGAGATCTTCCCCAAGTTGCTGTTATATCATTTCCCCTCTCCTGACCTGCCTTCCTGTCTGGCATCTTTGCCCTGCATGTTTGCCCGACAGTCCCTGCCACAAAGCTTTACCTATAGCTCTGTTCTTTATCTCAGGATCTACCATCTGGCTGCAGCCTGCTGTGTGTACTGCGATTGGAGGGCTAGCTGTGGAGATGCTCCATTCGTGGAAAATGATTTTCCTACATCCTGCCAGACCTGGGTAGGGAAAATTGTCAGTGTCATTTGTAATTTGCTTTTCTTTACCCCTTCTGTAATTCAGTTAGTCCTGAAATCATATAAATATGATAGCACATACAGAGATGCCAATCTGCTGTTCAAGTCGTCCAGGAATGAAAGCAGTGTCACTGTGGATCAGTTCTGACATCGATAGTCTAGCAGGTACCAGACCTTGCTTTTCAGAGACAGCATACAGAGGTAACACAGAGACTCCTGAAGTGTTGCACGCTGTTGTTTAACTGAGATTTACAGACAAACTAATTGTCTCCCAGATCTCAAGCAGGATTCCTGTTGCAGAGAGCCACTGAGCTACTTGTTAAATAACCGACTGCATAAAAATGTAAATCTCAGGGCTGGCTATGATAACATTATTACTGATTACTTTAGCTAACAAAGCCACAACCTGCTATCGCAGTTGTTAAATATGAAAGTTGTGGCAAATCATCAGTATATTGAAGGCAACAGTAGTCAAGTTTCACAGGATTTAAACCCGGAATAAAAGCAAGACAATAAAATTCTGGATATTCAAATCTTCTAATATAGCAACACATTTAAACAAATATAGAAGAATTCCACCTACATCCTTAAAGTTGCATTGGATAGACAGCCAAATAATACCATGTTTGAAGGAGTGAAATTGAAATTATTCAGTGTGTTATTATTATTGACTAAAAGGCTTTAGAAAAGATCCCTTCTGTGTATCTTCTATTTTTTGCCACCAATTTTCATACAGTTACACCTGTACTTTCAATGTTACATTTTCTTCTCTTGATCTTTTAGACAAGAGGGATTAGTACTGAAAGATCCTGCAGCAAAAGCCTTTGAAGCTCACTTCTTAGAGGTAAGACAGATTCCTGCCTCCCCAGCTGCTGCTTTTTGTTTGCCAAAGACTGCTCTGTTCTGCAAGGCTTCACTTCAGCACCACTGTATGCCCAATACAGGCCTTGAACTTGTGGATTGTTTTGATACAAATTAAAAACTGCATTCTTTTAATTATGAAGGGGATAGTTTTCTTCACAACTTTCACTCGCTCATCAATTACTGCCAGTTTCCTTGTGCAGGTCGATGAACTGATTTTAGTTTACTTCATAAAAAATATTTTCTGCCATTTGTGAAGAAACAGTTCCAACTTACCTAAGTTTTGTTGAAAGCTGGGGGTCTCATTACCAAGCATGACAGCAAGATGTATTGCTTACTGCTCATTCTAGGAATTTATGTTTTTCTTGTAAATAGGTCAATATACATTCTTGGTAAATAATCACGACAGTGAAAAACAGTCTTAGGGACTGATCTTATAAAGCACTGGCACACTGAGACCCTATTTTCTGCATTTGTGCTACTGCAAAAGCTAGTTATGGAGCACTGTATTTAAAAGTCTGGTTTCGGTGAGTAGTTGAGAGCAAGGAATGAAAGGGATAAAGGATAAAATCAGAAAAGTATGTCGTTCAGAATGGTTGGTTTTGTTTTTGATACAGACTACAAAGTTTGTATGCCTTGTTTTAGAGGAAGATCCATGGAAGAGTAGTGGAAAATATTTTGAACAACAGGTAGAAACAGACGAGCACTTTCAGTCATTAGAAGGGTGGACAGTACCCTCCAAGCCAAGCAACCAAAAGTTAATGCAATTACTAAGTATCAAATGTAGAGCAGAGAGACTAATTTGATCAGTGAGGCCGAAGGGATAATTCTTGGAGACAAAGCAATGCAATGCGGAAATGCAGCCTAATCAAGTGCTTCATCAAAAGAAAGAGGAAACAATTTCCAAGCCTTAACTAAAATCCCCAGTTGGTTCTTCATCTTTCCAGGGTTCTGGTTTTTGCATTGCAGTGTATGTTCCATCTCACAGCATTTGTTTGTCTGCTTCTGTCCTCTGTGCAAAACTGTTTTGTTGGCTCCTGGCTCCTTTATCAAATGAGCCTCCTCCTCCTTTCTTGCTTTTCACCAATGAGCCTAATCATGAAAGAGTGCACGGAAAAGGAAGTATTTATTATATTCTATGCCCAAGCCTCCTTTCCATAATCATGTGGAATAGCGGTTGAGGAAGAATAGCCAATTTGCCTTGTGGCTGCAGGATTTTTCAAAGCACACACTTGTTCCATCTGATGGAAAGCATCTGCTGGCTGATCTCTGCTAAGCCTTCTGCATAGCCAGGAACCTTACAGGTCTGTAGGGAAACAGAGCGAGAATTTGCCAGGTGCAACACAGCAAGGGAGAGACTATTTCAAAAAGCTATTCAGACTTCTGCTTTCATCCAAGCAGGTGCTGCTGTTACAACAGATAAAATGAGCTGGCAGAAAGGAAAGAAGGAACTTACAGAAGAAAGCACAGGAGATGGGAAACACAACCGAAAGAAGCGGGAGCGAGTATTTAAGAAAAGATTTTCTGGACTGAGTTTCTTCTCTGGGTCTCCTAGGAATAAACTGTGAGTACATCTGAGATTCTATTTTGTAAACTTATTCAAATGAGAAATTTATTTATAAACATTTCCAGTGCACCTCCAAACACCTTTGTATGTTCTGCTGCATTAATAGTTTCACCAACAAGGAAATTGTGACAGGCTAATTAAACAACTTCATCTGAACAGCAGCAAGCCACTCACAGACGTGTGAATGTAAGGTCTCCAAGTTTTGTGTATCTGCATATTCTTCTTTTAATCATTTCTGATGACTCCTCTTGCCATTCAATCAAGAAGATTTTGGAGGGGCGGTATTCTCATGTCTGCACATACATTCTAGCTGCCCTGGGCCATTTCCAGAAAGAACAGGTTTGTTGCACCAGTTAAGTAACTCTAGCTGCAGGGTGCCACAAACAGCGGCAATGCAGCAGCAACCAAAATCAGTGTTGAAAAGTTTCAGCTACCAAGTCCTACGGGATATCTTCCCTACAATAGAGTCTTTGTGCTTGCTGCCTGTTGGAGGAGGATTAAAAAAAAAAAGACAACTAATGGAAAAATATTCCTTTTATCAGAGTGTGAGCAAGGAGTCGAAAATGTACTAGAGCTTACTGCTCTGTGGTCTGTTAGATTTGAGATAGTTCCATCATTCTTGTGAGATTTGAAATTCTCGAGTCCTTGTGTTTGATGTTACTTTTCCTTAACAGGAGATAAACACAGCGTATGTATCACGATAAAATCTTAAAGTGACTCTCCTCATCCATTACAAAAGCTATTTTCTATGCAGACCTCCTAAAAAGAGTCTGTCTTTGCTAATGATCATGAAATTACTGTCTTAGCAGGAAGTACATGCAAGTCGCAGCAATTACTCAGCTAACTACATTAAGTTTGACAGTCACAGCAACTGGTTACAAGCTTGATATAAGATTAAAATAAACAGGCCAGATTTGGTTTTGAGAGAATCTTTCGATCAGTCCAACTGCCAAACAATTGATACCAAGGGCTCTGCTTTGGAGCTTACCTTGTTGCACTCATGGGGAAGTGGACTGGAAGGTGCAAGGATCCAAGAAGTTAGTGAACCAGAGCTTGAATTGCCTTTATTATCCACGATTCTACTAATGCATGCATTCTAGAGGCAGACATCACCGTAAGCAGTAAAACCATGCTGTGCAGCCTTGACAGTAATTTGAAAGTGACAGTTTTTTTTCCCAGTTTTATCTAAAAAAAGCAGTAACACATTAATCACATTAATGGAGAGTCTTCAGATTTTACTGGATGTTTTTTGCAGACATATTGCATGGCAGTAATTCTAAAGATTCAGGCCATCAGGGCCTACACAACTTTCACAGTGGTGTAGCTAAATCAGAAGATCTCTGCCATTCAGCACTGGTTTGTGAGCTCTTGCTGCTGAATATGAACCATGACCCTAATCTTCAACGGTATTATTTTGTATAAAATGTAGTGTATCAAAGCTGCTTTTCCTCCAGCCCTTCAACCTCTACCCAAAGACAGTACAAGATAGGGCTTGTCTATGAGCTAGCATAATTATTTCTGCATGCTAGGAGAAAAATAACCCTTACAATAGTATCGATGAAGTCTATTACATCAGGAGCCTTTAATTTAGATGCACATATCTGTATGGAATTTGTTCTCATGCACGAGGGTATGTCACGGTTACTCACTGAAGAAGTGAACACTGAAGAACTGAAGAGCCCATCTAACCGGCTAACCTGAGTTTTTTTCTTTATTTTACATTTTTGTTTAAGTAGTGATGGACAGTCCTTGTGATAATTCTATGTTAAAAAAACAATGGCTTGTCACTGCTGTCATAACACCAGAGCCAGTTTTCTCTGTTTTCTGCCCCCTCCTGTTCTCTGCAGGAGATCATACTCTGCACCTGCTCGTAGTGTGTCACAGAACCTCAGTAAGGATTCATAAATCAACAGTAACTGCTCCTGGTGATGTCATTCATTTAGGAGATATGTAGGCTAAACTTGTCACCTTTCTTTCCTCTGACTGTTCCAGCCCTCAGGGAAGGAGTCAGAGTTTTGAAGACAAGAAGAGATGCTTACACAGGAAAGGTTCCAAAAAGCTGAAACCAGCACGGGAAGAAATATGTTCTTTAAGGCAACCACATTCTGGAAAAATGTGTCCAAAATGTGAAATCCTTGTCTGCCGAAAATGTGAGACCCTGCATTCAGAAAGCAGTTTCATTGCTCACAGCCTACTTGATCACTACGACAGAGGAGGACGTGGCAGCTCTACTACACTAATTACAAAAAGCCAGAAAGTATGCAGAGGTGATTAACGAATTGCTGTGGGCGCCCTGTTGATACCTGACTACATCAAGAAAGCTGAAGCTTGGATCCATTTAGGCTGAAGCCTCAGTTTGCACAATCTGAATGCAGCATCAGCAACTGCAGCTGTGACGCTGTTCATACTTACCATATGTAGCAGATACACATTCACTCATTTAACCAGTATAAAGTCTGTGAGCAGGAACTGTAAGTGTCTCAGCTGTTAAGAACAGGAAATGATTTCAAAAGCTTCAAAGAGTTTTATTTTTCCCCTCAAGGAATCAAGATTATCACATTGAGCTGCGAAAGAGAAAGCAAGTATTAAATGCAGAACATTACAATTGTTTGTAATGTGTAGGTATGTTTCAGTGTTACTTGTGGTCTGGAATATTAAACTTATTTTTAAATTAACTGGCATGGGTATGTAATTTGATGGGGGAAAGACAGCTTCTAAAGGCTATCCTGGCCACAAAAATTGCATTCAAATTTCCTTCAAGCATTCAATGCCCAACTTATGACTCAGCACCTCTCCTTAAGAGAAGGAGTAACTCACAAATAAAGTATTTGAGCCTGTGTATCACAGCACTGGCATTCAAAGTTAAAGCTTATTAGTGAATCCCACACCTTAAGCTGTCCATATCCATGTCCATATCCCTTCAGTGATGATCAGAAAGCTGGCTAGCCAATGTACAATGCTGGATGGTGGGTGGCTTCAAGGTGCAGCCATACAGAAATATTTGTCTCTATGGAATTTAGGAATGCAGGTTAACTGTACAGGTAACCTCTGGAGCAGGTTACTTACCCCTGAGCCTAGCAATGGGCCTCTTTTCCTCCCACGCCAACTGCCCCAACTCTATATGCAGGACATATTCTTTGCTCTTTGATAAGGAACAAACTTTGTCTCAGCAATACAAAACATTAAGGGTCCTTTTATTCAGCCAAGCAAAAAGAACATGGGGTGCAAAGTTTGGACCTCTGCTTAATCACTCCTCTTCCTAAATTCACAGGTCACTAGCCCATAGGGGAAGGGAGTCTCTCTATCAACCCCACTTCCCCTTTAAAAGTTGTTCCATTTTGATTTCAATCAATGTTGGGTACAAGGACTGGAGTCCACACTCTTTATCTAAGGAGCACTATTAGCCCTGCTGTCATCCATTCTAATATTGTTGGCTACTCACCCTGCTGCCCCATGAAAACCTGCTTCTACAGAAGAAATTCATAGCCATGGAAAGATCTTTCCCACACTCCCGAGCAATAGTGCTCAGCAGCCTTTGTGATACGCGAGGTAAAGATTCCATATTCCTTATGCAAAGGAGGTTAAGAAACAACTTCAGGAATTAGAATGAGCTGCTCGGGCTGTGTTGTACAATGGTCACATCAGAATGTGCATCCAGAGCTTGCTCACTGAGCAAAGCTTGAAAGACAAAGGAGCAAACCTCCATTTAAGGTGGGATAAAGGCAGGATTCACAAGCAAGAACAAACCACTCCAGTTCCTCATTTCTCCCTGGACTTCAGTGGATAGAGGCGCTCCCAGAAGAAAGAGCTGTAGAAATCCCAGACAAAAAATTAGATCTTGCATACATCCTTACACTACAGAGAGTTGTAATCCCTTGGAAACCATGTTTCCATGGTGCTCAGTTGTTGCTTCCACTCATTTGCTTCATAAAAGCCAGATGATGCCTGGCAAATCAGAATTAATCTTTTATGCTTCTCTGTGATCACTATTTTTAAAATTCTTGAAGTGTGATCCTTCACAGACGTTCCAAGAGTAAGCCATACAACTACTTAAGGAATATAAATGAATCCCCATCCCACTTCATCAAGCAAACCCAGGGAAAACTTCAACATAATCACCTGAGGAAAAGCAAAGTGACAGGATGAGAAGGATGAAGGACTGACTCATCACAACAGCATCATTTAAAATCTGATCCAACGTAGTAAAACCTGTTAAAACAAGTAATGCAGTTGAGCCTTTAGACAGATGTTCTGGAAATGACACAGCAGGTAAGGTTATGTCAGCATCTGACTGGCAACATCTTCCCTTGTGGTTTACCAGAGGGCAGACAGTGGGGATGCAGTTCCCCATGTAGGCTAATGTGGCTGGAAAGGCATCAGCATAATAGTAGCACGCAAATCCACCTCATTAAGGAAAAAAAGCTTTCTTGTCTTCTCACTTGGTCAGCAGTAAATGCTATTTTGCCACAGCATTTGAGGAACAGCTACTAAAATGACTGAACTCCCTGGGCAGCAGTGGCAGAAGCACGTACTCTATCAGTCAGGAAGTCACACTCAAAAAGAACAAATACAAGATTTTTATTATGCATTAAGGAAGGATGAGCAGCACGCTACTCAGATTTTCTCAGTATCATTAGCTGTTAAAATTACTGCACTCTTCCTGGGTAAGCTACCAAAATTTGCTTCACATATCTGCTTGCAATTGCATATTCCTGAGACCACATTTATTCCTTCTGCTCACTCAGACTTCAGCTAAAAAGTCTTCAGTGTCCTCATGGGAATGTTAGAAAACAGCTCTGCTGGCTCCTCAGTCCTTGCACTAACTGAGAATTAGCTGTGTTCCCCAATACCCCACGTGGGCTACAGGTTCTGCTGTTCCCACAGAAGCTGTTAGAGGAAGCTCACATATCCATGTGATCTAAACTCCATGTGACCACAACTAAATTCTATGGAAAGGCAAAGCTAGCTCTCTGAACTGATACGCCAGAAATATGAAGCATCAGCAGTTCCTATGTCTATTTAAATCCCTTGAGATTTTATCTGTTATGATCTTCCCATGATTAATTTGCACAGATACTCCAGTTGCAGGAATAATTTCACTACTAACACCTCACATCCTGACTACATCAACCAACAGTCAGCTGCAGACAAACATGTCACAAGCAAAAGTTTTGCAGTAGATGAGACAGTGGAGTAGTTAGCGTGGTACTGTGGTCAGGAATGCAATAAAAGACAGTGAAATAAAAATACCACTACCCTGAAATTAGTCTGACACCCAACTATTGAGCCAGCCTACAAATAATACAAAGCCATATGTAAAATGTTGCACTCCAGCAGCAGTGCAGCACTTCCAACTCGTACAACAGCACCTGGTGAAGTGTGCTTTCCATCAACACAGCTCTATTTCCTAATCTCTCAGCACTAATACACCAGATGGTTTTATTTTTAATTTTAAATTTCAAATGTTTTAAAAATCTTGCCAGAAGCAGGAGTGCATTATGTGAACACAGGATTTCGGTATCGAAGTTAAAGCCAGCTGAGACATATAATATCAATACAATGTATTTTGAAGGAACAGTTATAGAAATATGACTACATGCTTAAAAGATTTAGGATTGGAGTCATTCCTAGGAAATAAAACCATGATCTTAGCCTGGCATCTTAATTACTGAGAGCCCATACAATTTAATTATCTCATTTCAATGGCTTTGGGAAATTAAAGAGGAATACTGGACTGTATGTACTCCATATACAAACAGGCTCTGTGGAAGGCATTCACTAGATTGTGAACAATTGAACTATCATACCAGTGCACCACTGTCACTTAAAACTGATACCAGCATAAAAGAAAAAGGAAGCAGCTCTACTGGTGAGGGACAACTCCATGGGAGCTCTTCGCTTGGAAAGCAAATATAAGACAAGCAGAATGTAAGAGCAGCATTTGCCACCATTTGTCACAAATCACATAATACAAGGTAAAGGCAAATCATACAATCAAAATAAAAACCAGAACTAATAGATACATTATACATGGAGCACACACCCAGTTTCAGCTGTTTCTAAAAGCAGTGCATAGGTATCTCTCCTCTGCCAGTACCGATGAGGGACTTGGGAAGCAGGACTCATTTAGAAGCAGTCATCTTCCTGGTGGAAATGTGTGGATCAGATTAGAAGTAGACTTGGAGAAAAGCAAATAACTTAACATGCAACAACCTGCACTGACAGTGTTGTATTTATAGCAGAACTCACAGCTTACAATTAGTTTTTCAGCAGCACACAACTACATCCCTTCCAAAGGTTTGGCTGACTTGTTCCAAGTCTCACAAGAAGCCTGTGGAGGAACTTGGATCTCACCAGCACTGCTAGTTATGGGTGCAACCATGCAATCATGCTCCCTCCTGGTATCTGCCTTGCTCACCAGCCCCAAGAAGTCAAGGTGGCCAACTGTATCTCAAGTTCTGAGAAAAGCTGTGTGTCCCTGAACACAATGTACCAGAGAGACATATCAGAGACCTCTGGGCACTCCACCTCACAGACAAATGTAACATGTCTAGGAATTGCTGCTTACACAAACGTTCACACTGTGAATTAGCTGAGCATGAAATCACTTCTTTTAGCAGTTGAAGAGTAGTTTCTTTCTAACACTTCCGTCTGCTTCTACAACATCAATAAACACATAATGACAATGCTTTTGTTACTTCTACAACATTCTAGAAGCAGAGACCTTGTTAGACAGATTAGCCCCAAGAGTTAGGGCAAGAGAATAAAATCAGTACCTAAAATGATATCCTGGCCCCAGACAGGTCCTTAACCTTTTAGAAGGCCCACACCAAAAAAACAGAACAATGAATAAAAAACAACAACCCCACTCTCAACAAAGTAAAACCACTTTTAATTAAATTCCTACATAAAACATTTCTATGTAAAACAACAATTTAGCCAAAAAGTAAATATATGTTTTAATTTTCTTTCAAATGTCAACAAGAATTGAGAGCTACCAGCGTTCTTTGGAGAACAAGCAGTAGTTAAAGTCTATCTTGCTGATGTTCAGAAACAGTATGTTACATCTTTTAACCAGCAGTTCCTATTGCACGTCACAGATTTGCTCTCCATTTAAGCACCTAAAAGCCTGGTACCTCACTAAATAAATTAAAACAAATCCAGTTTCTTCAGAAAACATCTTCAACACAGATATCTTGGTATAGCAACATTACTGCAAGATTCAATAAATACAGAAAAGATTAATGACCTCTCATTGTGTTCTACGGAATTGTCTATTCCCACACTCACTCACTTTCAAAACAATTTGGTTTCTTTTGGTATTTATGCTCTAAAAAACACTGTGTATGATACGTATTAAAATTTTCCATCCGTGTTTATAAGACAGCACATTTGCATGGCACGAGTAATCTGACGTAAGGGTTTCAATGAAGGGCTGCAAGGAGCTTCTTGTTGAAGCT